GTTTTCTGGGGTTCACTAACAATGTCAGGTTTCAGGAGCCAGAGCCCTCTCATGTTCTTCCATGGTTGCTGTTGCTCTTGGCCAGGATAAAAGGCTGGGAAGGTGAAGTTTGAGCAAAAGATTGTCCTGGAGCAAGGCTGTGCAACTGCTGCCACTGGGTGAACTGTAGCTTTTGGCCTCTTGACTTCCAAATTTTTTTGGTGAGCAAGTCATCTTATTGTATAAGTGAAATGCATCCTAATAGTCTGTGCATGATGGATTGAAAAAGGCTTTACATGCTGGAAAGGCTGTTGAACAATATAGTTTCCACTTACAAAGCACTTTCCTTAAAAAGCTTCTCAGGGCAGCATCATATAAAAATAGTTATACTAAAGTTGTGAACCAGCTTATGACAAATCAGGACTAACAAAAGCTAAGGTATAAATAGAAGTGTTTTCATGGGTTTTCTCTTCTCTAGAGGCACAGAATCTCGATCAGTGCTGGATTGTAAGAAACAAAAATGCCCTTTTCCAGACACACAGGAAAACAACGACCTTACAGACTAGTGGCACAGAATATAAATAGGTTTTCAAAACTGCTTCAAAACCATAAAAATTAGTCAAAACCATGACATTTGTATTTAAGAATGAGCCATACCATATCAGACAATTTTAAAATCCAATTCTTTATTTTATTTCAAACAAAGTAGCATCTCCTGCTTTACAGAAAGATTAAATACGTTATACTTTCATAATTATGGAATGAATTGTCTCCAGGCACTCAAGGATATGAGGATTATATCAAAGTCTGCAGTGTATTAGAATTCCCGGAAGACAAATGCTGAAGAATGTAAAACATTTCATACTCTGTACTTGTATTTTGTCAGTGGGCACTCTCAATGCAACTTACTGGTCATTTTCAAATTAATTTCTTTTTGTGAAGTAAGTTAGAATTATTTTTCTTAGAGCAGGTTTTGAAGCACTTAAATGTAAATCTACTATTTGCTATTCCAGTGTTTGTGTAATCTTGATTTTATTCTGAGCCTGTTCTTTCTTGTGCTCTGTGCCAACCTTTTCTGAATCTACCAAACCCAATGTAGTTTAATCCACAATACCAAAGAAGGAAGGTTTGTTTCTGTAAGTCAAAAATAGTTCTTACTGCAGTTAACCTTGCAGCTGAACCAGTTCTGCTATTGCTCTTTTAGTCGTGTTTGACCAGTCACGTCTGCACAGACCAGAAGCAAGGCTGAGCAGGGTATCTACATAATCAATCTGATGCATGACGCTGTTTGTTCTCAGCACAGAAGTGTTTTCTATTGAAAACACCCCCCTCACAAAACGTTCACTTACCAACAACTGAATTTATGGTGCTCTTCGGGTCTGTAATAGCTGGGCTTTGCAGATGCTGACTGCTTTCAGTCTATGCATGGGAAGTGAGGATTTTGGCCTCAAATCCTTCTGTATATTCTCCAATCGTCCTGTAATCTTTTCTCTTGCAAAAAAAATGCTAGGGGGCCTTTTCCCATTCTGGATGGGAGTCTGCTGTTCTCTGCCTTTTCTGCTTTCAGAGCCATGTATCATTCAGCCATGCTAAAAGGGAGATTCCCAGCCATCTCACAACCTCAGAGCATCCCCCATGAGCAGAGAGCCACAGTAACATTGCAGGGAGAACTTACATTCCATTTCACTGGCATACAGACTAAGACCTGGGTGACATGTGGTTAGTCTTTTTTTGTTCCTATAGCCAACAGTGCAGCAATTATTAAAGAAAAAACCAGAAAGACAGTATTCTGCTCCATGCTGCCAGGTAACAGTTTATGCCATTTGACACCAGATATTCTGAGTATTACTCATTAAAATATTTGGCTACTTCCATTTCCCAGTGATCACTGTAAAAAATATTCGTCCTGCTAGAGCTACAGCAGAACAGATCCGCATGCTGAAATCCTACTCCTGTCCGTAACAACAGCACCAAAATAGCTTTAATAATTAATCATGCAGTGATTAGATTACGAACTCTGAGATGGGATGGAGATTTTTGTATTATGTATCAGACAAAAGACACTGGCAATGCTTAACTAGCAGTCACCTGCTCCTGCTCCACCTGCCATTGTGGGAACACTCCGGAAACCAGAAGGGAGACAAAGGCCAACAGAAATTGATAAAAACCTTCACCTGCCCTTGGTATGTTCAGGAATACAGAACTGTTGAAACAGGTGCAGCTACAGCTGCACACAGGGGTGCTGCTTTGCTTATTAACTTGTCCTTTGCCAGGCCATGCTCTGCATTATATCCTGATGGAAGACAGCATTCAAGCTCCAGGCCAAGCAAGAGTTAAGCAGGGAGTGTTCTGACTGGAAACACCAATGCAAACAGCCACTGTGGCAGGGCTGGGCAAGGAGAGGCCAGGCCTGGGGCAGAGCCCCTATCCTGTGCTCACCCTTGTTAGGGTCCCTTGGAGTGCCTACGCTGCTCTGTCCTGTCAGCTGCTTGCAACATTAGAAACAAATTTCTGTGGGAGTGGAATTGTTTTGCTGGAATGATATTATATGCAGCTGATTTCAGAGTAAGTAAGAGTTTATGACTGAGAAACACTAGTATTCAAAATTGGAATATTACTTCCTAATCTTAACGTCCATTAGAAATTTTGCTGAGCTGTTTTGACGAAGTTTTTTCCATGCGTTTTGCTGTTGTCACATGACTCTGGGGACCTATTTATTACAATTACAGAAGCAAAATCCCTCTGGAGGTAGTCCATATGCTGGAATGAAATAAAATAATATTAGTGTGTCTAGCTTAATGCCTCCACTGGTATAAAAGTATGATAAAAAAAAGGGAACTTAGGATCAGTTTTATGGTACCAAGAACTGGTATCAGTCTGGCCTTAGAAATCAAGCCAGTTTTATGGGAGGAGGGGGAAAGAACACTGTGAACTGAAACGAGCAAATCAAGTTAAACACGATCATCAATCAAATTAAATTTTGCCAGTTGCTGGGGACACTTCCTAGCACTGAACATCACTGAACATCACTAAACAACAGTTATTGTTAAAAAGCACTTGGGAGGCAAACAGCTGTCACTCCCTGCTGACCAGAGCACCACCAGAAGTATCTGGGCAAAAGGGTCACAGGAATCTGGGTTGTGGCTGGTGCCCATGTGGAACAGATGTACTCCATGCCTCCCCAGGGCTCCCAGGGGCAGCCAGGCCATGGCTTGGGAACGATGGGTAGCTCAAGAGAGCCATGGCTGTCAGAGCTGCCAGTGAATGTCACTGTCCTCATCCTCCACGGTCAAACTCAGCACAGGTGGCAAAGCTTGCACCAGGAATAAGAGTGATTTATGTGATAGACACCATGATTGTTTTTAATTACAGTGGGACCTTTTTAATAAACAACAGCTTAGTTCTGGAAGCGTCAAAACATATCCCTCTGCAACTAGGAATTTACAGACACCACAAGCCACATGGCTTATTTTTTTCCCCTTTTTTCTGCCCCTTCTACCACTGACCTTTATAAAAAACAGAAGTTAAATAAGAGAAAAATAGCTTTAATGAAACATCCAGGTTGAGAAATCAAAATCAGACACTCCAACAACAGGAAGTTTCAAAAGCAGTGTTTATAACAGCATCTTGATTAACTGTGGCACGCTTGCTTTGCTTTTTCTTTAAGTTTTAAGCCATATTGTAGTGTGCACCTTGGCAGCTGGGCACAAGGATAGTATTGTGGCATTTGTTTAACTTTGCAAAATTTCCTAGGCATAGAAAAGTGTATTGACCTCAACCCCTGAACAATTTCCTGACCCCTGCAATCAGTGCTACAACTTGTGTCTTTCCAGTAAAGGCATCTGAATTGTTTCCCTGTGCAAATACACTTAAGCTTGTTTGTTATTTTATTCTAGGGCGCTGGAGACAGTTTTGTAGGAGCACTGGCTTTCTACCTGGCCTACTACCCCAAGTTATCCATGGAGGAAATGATCAGGAAGTCAAACTGCGTCGCATCAGTGAGCGTCCAGGCACCAGGGACACAATCTTCATATCCTTACAGGAAGGACTTGCCTCAGGACCTTTTCTAATTGATTGTCTAGCTCACTGTACTGATTTTATCTCATACCAGACAGCATTATTCTCCTGACTGCACCGAGGTTCTCCTCTGCTGACTGGAAAGGCCAGGAGAGTCTCTTTGCTTCTTATTTCAGGAATCCTGTGTGTTCCTGTTCTGCAGCAGTAAGATAGGGTGGGGGTGGTGGGTCTTTCAAACACAGCACAGCAGGTCTCTCTGGCCCCACACAACCCTGTGGCCGTCCCACACAGTGCGCTCTACTGAACTACCTGAAGTTTACAGGAAAACACCTGGAGGGTATTGGGCTCCCGGCAGTATTTTCACTTGATTTTATCAGACCTTCTGATGTGAAATGGCTGCACACGAAGCAGAGCATTAGCTTTGAGACTGCAACTTCAGTGCTCAAACACCAGGGCCAGTGTTTGGCTCACAACAAAGCCCCATATATCAGCCTGTGCCCACGTGCCTCAGGTGTGGCACTGCACTACCTGCTTCCCCACACTCAGGAAGGTCCCTCCAACTGTAAATAGGATAGGACTGCTACTGAGGTAGACTTTGAAAAATGTTTGTACACAGGCAAGCTAAAGGAAGAAAAGCTTACAAGAACATCAGAGAACTACCTTGTCTGTTTTCTTCATGTTTGACAAAAACCCAGGAATGAAAAATCCATCCTAACCTGGCTGAAAAAAATACAGGCCTTTAACCATGGTAATAGCTTATCCAAAAACTCATCTAGGTTCCCATTCCTTCTTTCCTCAGAAGGAGCTGGTGCAACATTACCCGTCCAAGTAATGACACCAGCTCGTGGTCACTACTGTCGCATCTGTGGCTGGTAGGTTAGAAAAACTTGCAATCCTGCCATTGAATTCCTGCTGTGGAAAATGTTAATTTTTATTGCTTTATAAAACAATAGTTCCTTTGAAGATTACAGCCTCTTTCACAATAGAAAACACAGACAATGGGATTTGCTATTTAATTTTTTTTAATTGAGCACTGTAAAAATAACTCAAAAGATAAATAAATGTTACTGTGATGATCTATGTCCAGACATTAAGAATTTTCTTTCTCTACATTGTTTTATTCACAATGGCCTTCAAATCACAGGAGACGGTGATCCCAGTTCATTTCCTCTCTTTTCAGCCCATGTTGCTGGATTTCTGAATCAGTGCTCACCCCATCCTCCCCCCAGACCATCCTCTTCTCATGTATAAATCAAGTCCAGTCATTGTTCACACAGAACGGATTTTTCTCTTCTCTGTGAAGAGGACACGTTGTTTTGCTACAGGGGAAAAAAAAATCCGTTAAGAAGCCTGAAGTGTTAAAATTCAATTCAACCAGCCCACGTTCTTTTTCTCCTGGCTGCCTTCACTGCTTAAATGAGTGTGGAGCAACTGACTGGCACAGCACTGTTGTTAACCAACTTGAAGGAGTTTAGTGGTGTTTTCACTTTACCACATGTAATTTTTAGTTCCTAAGATGTCCACTTTACCTCTGTGAGAATAAGTATCAGGATGCAAGTGACTCAAAACACTCAACAGCTGCTCTGTGTGACTATTCTGAGTCACAGCTGTTCAATGCAGGGACAAAAATAGGTTCTTTCTGCTTTCTACTACTCTTCAACTCCAGAGCCCAAACAACTATGGATGATGAGTTGGATCCAATTGGCCTTACAGGCTGACTGAGAAGGTAACCAATTGTCCTGTGGATCTTTCAACCAGGCACAAACTGGCCATGACCACAATGCCTGATGCAGGTGTTTGTAAAAAAAACCTGCAGGGGCAAGTTAAGCAGAGTCAATACATTAATGAAAACCAAAAATTACAAAATAAATCAAAGCAAAGCTTTACAATGCCATCTGAAAATCAACGCTGCTTGGTTAGTTTCATTATACGAATTCCTTTGAAAGCTACGCAAGAGCAATCCACACAACAAAATCTCTTCTTCCACAAAAAAGTTTCGTTTTAAGAAATACAGCAGATAGTACAGATTCTGTTGCTGCAGTTGAGAGGTAGTGAAACTTGGGCAATCCTGCCACTACTTCACTAAAAAGCTTCATTCTGTGGACGTCCCAGGTTTCTGAGAAGTACAAAACATAAGGTGAAGACACATGCCAAGTGAAAATGCTTCCTAACATATTCCTGATGTGAGTTGTTATCTAGACTCAAATTTACTTCCCTTCACACATGCAACACTTTCTCACATCAATTTCTCACTTGTGTTCTACTACAGGCTACAAAGATCAAAGCTTTCTTCAGCAACCTACTACATGTTCTATCTGAGTTCTTTTCTTTCTTCACTTCCCTACAAGTTGCAAAGCTTCTGGAGGATCACTCTGCACAATGTTTCAATGCAATAATTTATTTTTCTTATTCAAGAATAACCCCAGAGATCTCTGTTTGCCCTTCTGTGTGCAATTCCAAAGGAAAGCCACAACCTCTGTCACCTTTGACAAAAGCATATTGCTTCTTTGGTGCTTTCTCTCACTTCTCAAAGCTCCTATCCTGTTGGCTCTGAGAATGAAAAGGTAGTCCTCTAGCAAAAATATAGTATTTTAAGAAAAAATAAGCTTGAATCATGTAACTACTGGCCATGCGTTATCTACTTAGAGCTGCTTAATAAATTTCTTATATTCTATACCTTTAAATAAGCCTTTTTTGCATTAGCTACACCATATTATTTCTAATATGGTTTGGTTTAAATTCTAAGTTTACCCCCATTAAGCTTTTTAACATTAAATTCAGCTTTTTAATGCTAACAACAGAAACTTGAACCCTTAGTCATCTTTCAAAAAGCTGGGTGAACAAAAGGCAGTTTGGCAGGTGCTATAACCTGTCCAACAAATCAGATTCTTAAACTGAGAAAATCTGCAAGGCCTAGGGGAACATAAAAGAATCCACTAACTGCCATCTGGAGAGTGATATCATTTGTGGAATAAGAAGAATCTGTGCCTATTTCTTTAGAAGATAAAGTCCATTTTGTAAGAGGTGGTTAAAAATTCTGGTCTAGAGTTCCCATGGCAGCTTAACAGAACACTTCTGTTGATGCATACTTTGTGCCTGCTTGTTGGAGGTAGCACAGTCTAGCAAACCACACAAAGAAACAGAATGAAAGAACTCCTGTGTCACTTGACTTCGCCAGTGACATGTGGCATGGCTGTCATCAAAGTCTCTGATGTGTCAGGCAAGTCATTACTTTGTTTCACTGCCACAATCTGTAAAATGAGGGTAACATTTACTTCCCACTGGAATGTCATGAAGAACAGCAACAGTACAGTCATTTGAGTATGAAACATGTTATGACATATTCTGCTTAGATGGGTAAAATCCTGTTGCATTCAAATCTTTTCCCCCACAGAAGCTCCCCCACAGAGAAGCTCACACAAAGCAAGCTGACTTCTTCCCCGAGCTCTTACCGATGGGATCGTATCTTAGTAAGACCAGTTTTTCCTGCAGTCGGAGTCTCCTGATGTTGAAGCAGTAGCCTGTCTCTGCAGCGCTTTTCATCCTCACCAGAATGTACCTAAAGTCACAAGGGACATCTCTGTGTCACTGCACAGCCAGGGCCCACCACATCTGCCAATGGACAAGCTTTCAGCACACACAGTTTGGCACTATCACATAAGACACTTCATTTCAACTTCAGGGATGGGAGGATCAAAACTATGCCTAACTTTTAACGCAGACAAACACTAAACCATAAGCTCCAGCATCAAGTTTAAGTAAATAATTCCTCAACCGGATACAAGCCTAGAGAGGAGAAGCTCCTCCAAAAAACAGTGAGGTGGGAGGAATAAAAACAGGAGAGAAAAAAAAGAAATTAGAAAATCAGCATACAGTTGAGTCACTATGGCTTGAAAGCTAAGGGCAAGAGAGGAAGGATGATAGTAGTTAAAGATGTTCAGGCTGTAGATAACACTGTATCACAGACTATCACTTCCTCATGCAGAGAGGAAGCTAAAGCAGATAAGTTGGCACAAGAGACATGCAAAAGGAGAAGCAGAACCCCTTGGCACCATCCATCCTGCTAGAGATACAGAGCTTGGTATTAACCCAGCCACGGGAACCCCCTTCCCCACTGGAGGGCTCTTGGTTTGTGGGGCAGGTTGGCAGCGACTGCGGTGTCCCGGGAGCAGGAGACTGAGGAAGCTGCTCCACTCCCCCAGTCTGGAAGTGTGCCAAGATCCAAGCAACTGCCCAGACAGAGGGCATCTGAAGTTTCAAAAGAAATGTAAAACACTTTAACCAGTCTGTAAATTACATCTTTCTCTTCCATTTCAATGAAGAGATGGAGACATCGCTGCATGTGGGCACTCAGTTCACTTTCCATTTTCCTGTATTTTCCTGCTTCTAACACAAAACGGTCTGTCAAAATTAATCTGTTCTTCCTCACTTGTACAGCTCTCACCAATGTACTTCCTTAAGCTCTCCTTTGAAACTTTGCAATCTAATTTACTATTGAGTTCAAAATAAAGAGAAAGACACTGGATTCCTGCAGACAACTGACTGAGCATAGTCTTAGGATTATCCCTGGTTGTCATCTTCTCCTGTACACTACTGCAGGTGTGCTGTGAAGCTTCAGTAACCACAAAGACTCCTTTCCCTATATCTCACTCACTTCCTCAAAGCCTCTGTGCAGTTTCCCCTTTCTGGGGGAATCAGTGGCATCAGCATGACCAGGCCTTGAAATTCTTGTGCACCACACATTTGAGGCCAAACCCATTCCAAACAATACACCTTGCTCAAAAAAATTACTCCCCCGTGAAGAAATGTAACAAGGAGCAGAAGCAGAAAACAATACCAGAAAGCTGTCAGGGCACAGGAGGAAACTCAAGGGGAGTGGAGAAAGATAAATAATGTAAGAACATATTCCTGGAGTGCATATGGGACTGTAAAAGAACAGAAGGAAACATTGGGACAATATATAAAAGGGAGTGTGTGGTAGAAATCACTGCATTAACATTAGTAATGCCATTTTTAAAAGCTACTTTTTCACCTTGCAGAAACCTCCTGATCTGCTGTGTTTGTTTTTATGAACAGATAACAGTAGAACAATGAGATGTCAAACTGCTCTCTGTCAAGACACATACTTGGGAAATGCTTTCGTAATTTAAAAGCCTGACAATTGTGCAGAAATTCTGTAACAGAAGACTCTGCTCAAATGTGACAAGTGGTTGGTACTGGCTCTGCTGGGGGCGATTCTTAAAAATCCAAAGTACAGAAAATGTACCAAAGGCCATAGACCTCAGGCCTGTGTGGTACCAAGTATAATAAACTCACACAGAATGCAACTTCTGGGAACAGAAAGACAGGAATGTGTTCACATAAATGTAGCAGTTTAGCCTCTTGGATTTGTCTAGCTAATTGTCCTACAAACAGCATTTTGGATCGAAGTCAGTTTCTCCACAAGATCTTGTTTCCTTGTGCCCACATTGTAAGAGTACTGGTGTGCTCAAAGTACATACTCCTTCTTTTCCAACCCTTAACACACTATCAGCTTTCTTTACAGGTCAGAGGACTGTGACTAATTTTCTTCAAGAGCCCACTAACATCTCTGCTGAGCTGGACTACAGAGCAAATTAAGATGCCCAGAGCACTGACTGCACCCTGTCCATTCCTCACACATAAACTCAGGAATATGCTAAGCCTAGGAAGTGTTCTGTACTCTGGCTGTGGGAAAGCTTCATGGCACGTGCCCGAAGTCCACACCACAGACAACAAAGACCCATGCTGTACCTTAGTTTACTGTCTTCAGCTAAAAAGGTAAGACAGGTGAACAACAGGAAAAATACTTGGATAATTTACAGCCTCTCTTTAATCACAGAGCATAGAGGTGTGCTTCCCCCTGTGCAGGGCACTTTGGATATTCCTGCTGAGCTCAGTGTGAGAGCCCATAGGACAAAATCTGCCTCTGCTGCAAGTTCAGAACCCATGGGTGAGTTACACACTATTCTGTACTTACCTATGAGAAAACACACAGAATGGATGAGAGGAGGCAGCTAGACTCAAGGACTGCAATCCTCTCAGGTATGTTAAGAAAAATATAGAGAAGCTTAACATTTTGCAAAGATACAATATACCACTAATCAAAAACTGGTGAGGAAAACCATCACTTACTTAGATTTGCTCTTGGCCACTGGGGTTTTTTTTTGGAACATGAAAAAGAGAAAAACAGAAGAAACAGTTACCATTTTATCTTGTTTCTTTCATATGCAAAAAAAGATTATAAAGATTAAGTGTTTTCCATGGCCTGACTTTGCTAAAGCTTGAGAGAGCTAGTGTGAAGAGATTTACTGTGATGACAAAGCACCACTCGTTCTTCCACGTGCTGTCAGTTCCCTGCTCTTTCCGCCATCATGTCACCTTTACAAGTGTCTGTGCAAACGCAGTGCCCAGCGTGACAGGCTGCACTTGCTGCATGCTCCTGACATTCTCAGTAAGTTTTCAGCTTCAGTGCCGAGTACGAATTCTCTGGGTGAACGTGAAGTTAAGACAGGTGTGAGGAACACTGCTGGGGAGACTGCAGTCCCAGTCTCCCCAACTTGTTTCCACCCACTCCGGCTTCGGTTCCTGCTGTGGCACCAACACAAGGGTCTGCATGGTGCAGAGCAGGGAGCCCTTCTCAGCTGAGCCCGACCTCCCCTCGAGCCTGGCTTTGGGTTCACTGACCTAACCCACAGCACAGCATGAAACAAGCTGAATTATTTTTCTGTCACCTCACTGAATTTAAGGTAATCATAAACCTGCTGCAGAAATTCAAACCCCCACTAAAAAATAAAAAAAAAAATTAAAAAAAAAGAAAAAAGTTCATGTATAATGTGTGTGTGCAAGTCTTGTTTAGGTCAGCCTGCGCTTCCTCCGGGGCACGCCGGGAGGCCCCGCGGCCGAAGAAGGGAGGGCCGGGAGGGCCGGGGAGGTCGCGCCGCCGCCCGCCCGCCCTCAGAGCCGCCCCCGCGGCCGCCGCCCGGCCCCGCCGCGCCCGCGGCACTCACGGGCCGCCGCCGTCAGGAACATCGCGCCGGGCCCGATGGCAGCCGCCCCGCCCCGCCCCTTCCGCCGCCACTACCGCGTCCGGGGCGCGGGGCCGGGCCTGCAGGGCCGCACCGCCCTGGGGAGGGGCCGGCCGCGCTGCCGTGCCCGTGCCGGCGCCCGGGAGCCGGCGCTGGGAGAGCCGAGATGCAGTTCTGGCGGCCAGGAGGGCCGGCATCCAGCACAGCCTGTGGCCAGCAGGCCGAGGGAGGTGGTGCCGCCCCTCCGCTCAGCCCTGGTGAGGCCACATGGAGAGTGCTGTGCCCGGTTCTGGGCTCCTCAGTACAGAAGAGACATGGAGCTGATGGGCAGTACCTACGGAGGGCAACAGAGATGATTAAGGGACTGGAGCATCTCTCTTACGAATAAAGGCTGTGGGAGCTGGGCCTGTTTGATCTAGAGAAAAGGAGAGGAGATCTCACCAGTGCGTACAAATATCTCAAAGGCAGGTGCCAAGAGGATGGTGCCCAGCGACAGGACAACGTGCAGTGGCCATAAACTAAAACAAAACAAGTTCCAGCTCAACATGAGGAAGAATTTCTTTGCATTGAGTGTCAGAGAACTGGAACAGGCTGCCCTGGGATGTTGTGAAGTATTCCTCTCTGGAGACATTCAATATCCACCTGGACGTGGGACATGTTCCTGATTAATCTGCCCTAGGTGACCCTGCCTTGGCAGGGGGTTGGACTAAATGGTCTCCAGAGGTCCCTCCCAACCCTGACAATTGTGTGCTGTCCCCATGCAGGCCTATCCCACCAGCCTGTCCGTGTGTCTGGCAGTGGCTCACGGCAGCAGGGCCAGTGCAGAGGAGGACATGCCTGGCTGTAATGGCCCCACAGTCTGTGCCCTCTGGCTGGCAGCACATCTGGGTTCTGTCCCACTGCATGGCTCAGAAGGGACCTTAAAGATCATCTCGTCCCACCCCCCTACCATGGGCAAGGACACTTCCCACTAGACCAGGCTGCTCAGAGCCCCAACCAACCTGCACATGGCTTTGTCATGTTGCACGTCTCATCAGCTAAGACCCCCAAGTCCTTCTCCTCAGGGCTGCTCTCACACTATTCTCTCATCCTTCAGTGCATTTGAGGCATTGGAATAGGTTGCCCAGGGAGATGATGGAGTCACCATCCCTGGAGGTGTTTAAGAGGTATCTGGATATGGTGCAGGACGATGATTTGGTGATTTAGGGGTTACAGTGATGGTGCTGCATGATGGACTAGATAATCTTAAAATCTCTTCCAGCCCTGGTGATGCTATGATCTGCTAACCTCTGCCTGCCTTTGTTCTCTTTTTTTATAATGCTGTCAAAGTCCCCAAATCATTAGGCAACTAAACTTATCAGTGTTCATGAGATACTGTACAAAAGTCATGGGGAGGGAGGCTCAAAGCAGGCACCAAAGCAAGTCTTCATGTTCCTCTGACCCATTAGATAATGAACTGTAATATATTACCCTCTGAAAAATTCACAGAAGGTCTGTGGCTTACTCTTCTTCCATCAGTTAGGTAAACTGTTGTTGATGGAATTCAAGTCCTTGAATATTTAGCAATTACTAAGGCAATAAAAATGTCAGCTTGACATATTTAGATGAAAAACAAGACTTAGAATGTATAATAACATGCAGTTAATTTTATATTCTATGGCATGAAAACAAATGGCTGACCCTATAAAAGACTGGAGCAAAACAACATCTCCAGGAAAACATTGCTGCTTGTGTCAAGTGTTTACTTGATATGTTGTTCCTTTATTCAATTCAATTATTTCCAAATACTTACTCTTAATGATACAACATTTTAGTCTTTACTATGTGGCCTTCAGAAGTATAAATCTAGTAGTTACATAATCTGCCCATGAATATCAGAGTGAGAACTTGAAAACATTCAAGATGATAAAATGTGAGTGCTGTAAGACTCCTTCTCTTTGATCTGCATTATTGCCTCAGTCAGATCACAGACTGAAAAGGAATGTAATTGCCAACCTCCTGACTTCACTGCCAGGAACATAAATCAACATTAAAGATGATTTCTAAATGAAATAGCAAGTTAAACATTTGTAGAAACACATCATCAAATAGAGGTTACTGCCTCTTTTTAAACCTCTTGCCTGTTGGCAAAAAGAAAACTGTTCCAGTGACATTTTCTCTGCTCTACTGTGACAAGGGCTGCATAAATATAGACACTGTGGATTAGAATAGACTTCGACAGTCTTCAACTTTCTTTTTAGCAGCCTCTTCTGTAGACAGTTTTCAACAGCTATGGGTAAAACCCAGGGAGTCTGAAACTGGTGTGTGTGGCAAGGTGTTGAGTGTCACATGCACCGATGGCAATAGGCATAGAGCTGACCTTGAGGAAAAGTTATCCTGGCTGGAGGAAAGGAGAGAGAGTGAGAAGTTCTGACCCTGGCTCCGATTCAGATTTGGCATGTGGGCTAAGTCATGTTCTTTGGGATCTTCGATGGCATGTGCAGTGCAAATGCAGATTTTTCCTTCAACTTTGCCTAAAGAAAGCAAGGAATGTGATGAACTGTAATGCCAGCCTAGATAATTCTGGTACTTGCTTAAAGAGTAGTCACTCATGACTCCAGCAGAGAAGTTGCTGATGCCAAACTGATCAATGTCACTCAGAATCAAACATAGGGTGGGTTTTTATCTCGCTAGAAAAACAACAATTTGTCATGGTATAATCTAACTGATTCCTTCCCATTTTATGCTTTATATTCTAGGCTGAGCCCTCCTTCACCTCCAGGAAGTGAGGAGATGGCTGCTCCCTGCCAAGAAAGTGCAGCCAGGTTTCTGGCACACGCTGAGCAGGCGAGGGGCTGGTGTCTGAGGTTGGCAAGGGTGAGGCTTCCTCAAGTGCACACGGCGCCTCCAGTCAGTCATCGCTCGAGAAAGTCACAGGAGGGGAGAGGGGGGCAGCAGATGAAATGTTTGCAAGGTAAATATCCTCTTGGCACTAGATTTTCTGTGTGAGTTGCTGTAATTAACGCATACAAAATCCAAGGCTGGAAACAAGAGAATAACACTAAAGCCTGGGAAAAGCTCCACGTGTCCTTCCTGGTTTCCCACAAAAAACAGGCAAGCAGCTAACTAAGCCAAAAAAATGCAGACAGATTGGTGGACATAGCTTTTAAACAGCCAGCCTACTTTCTCCTCCCTTCTTGCTTTCCCTTTCTCAGCGTGTTACTACTTAGCAGTGTTCTGCTGTCCGCAGTGTTAAACAAACACTCATGGGCACTATTGTGCAAATCACTCATCCCAGATAACAGATGGATTTTTACATTCTTTCTGCATATCTGAATCTATTATCCCAAAAGGGCAAGAAGAAAGTGGGCATTAGCTTAATGCAGTTCTGAAAGAGGAACTGTTCAGGTCAGGAGAGCGGGAACTATGGAAAGAGCCATCTGAAGTGCTAAATCACTTTGAGCCACTGACTAAATCCATTTCAGCTGCTGGTCTGTTTGAAGTGAGCTAGAAATGGCCTTTAGCCTAGTTCTTAGGTGTGATAATCTTGTTAGAAAAGGTGGAAAAGCAATGGGCTTGGATGGTTTCCTTCTTACCTCCAGAACTTAGTCCCCCTAGATCAGATGTGGGGCACTCCGGTGTGGTTAGGGCACAGCTCTGTTTTCAGGGATTTACCTGGACCCTGCTTATTCCTTCCAGAGCACTGGTCTCTGGATCTGTTCTGGAGCTCCTTTCCCCTGCACTGACGTCATTCATATGTAAGGGGGGGAAGAACAAAGACAGCACTCGCCTCTTTCTTGTGTGATTTTTCAATACCCATTTCCCAATCCCGGCATCCAAAGTAACAACATCCTTTCAAACCGCCCCCTCTTGAAATGCCACTGTAGTCAAACAGCTGCAAATCAAAACACCTTGTAAACAAGTGACTGAAATCCCGTGGGATGCCCGAGGGCTTGGGCACGTCTCAGAGTGATTATAGTTCCTGCTATACAAATTGGAGTCCATGTAGCACAGTTTGTGCCAGCTCTGAGCTCTTGCTCTTTATTTTTAGCCCTGTTTGTTGAGGGGTTCTCATAATAAAAAGAATGACGTTCGGTATCAGTGACACACAGATAAAATTAGATAGTAGCCGGAAGTGATCCTACAACTAATCCTCCCCATTTTTTCCACAAGCTTTGCGATCCTGTGGGCCTCAAGGACAGCTTTTCTCTGTGTGAATTTCACTTCCTATCAGCAGGCAGCTGAAAAATTGGGCTTGCACAGGACTTGTGTGCAAAAGGAATGAATGTCATTGTCAGTGCTTATGCCAACAGCTGGGACCATCTGGGACACCAAAGACAACAGTGTCTAGATGTGTACAGCTGATCAGAGGTTGTTTTTAGCAAGCCTTGAAACCTTCTTCCCTTTTTGGGGCAACGGAACAATGTTTTTGCCTTCTATGCATGGAGTTTTGTGCACAGAGCAGCTTAAGTCATCAGGGCTCAGTCCTGGAAGTGATTAGTCCCCCAGACATAAGACACTCGC